AGATTCTAATGTTGCCTGCACTGTTTACTGTTGCGTTTTATTCTGGTGATTTAAGATATGAAGTTAATAAGAATTTCCATTTTCAGTATCTTAAAAACAGACATGTATAGTCATTAGGTATTCCTAGTGGTTCCATCTGAATTGGCTCTGGTACAAACCATATTTTCACCAAAGTCTGGTTCCGAAACATTTCGCTCTGTTCAGAAAACTGTACAATGGACGATGAACAATGTCCAGAAATCCACTCATACACATCGTAATGTGAATGTTATGTCTTCTGGTGTTGATTAGATGTTTAAAGACGTGGTTATTAGTCTCATTTCAAATAGTGACACGCACCAAACCCAGGTCACTGTTGGAGCGATAATTCGGAAGGAATTTGGTTCGAATCTATGCCGTGTTAGCTGCTGTACCCACTGAGATTTTTTTATGATATTTATTTCTGTCCCGGCGAATGCTCAAACGTAGTGGACTACCACGTACCTTCAAATACATACCCACTGTACCTCCTTATTCGATCTAACTTCACGACCGAGTGGTTGGCATTCTTACTTCGTACATTATTCGGGACATATCTTACTCAAATCTCTCGCCGGAGACCTGCTACCCTGACTGGGGTTTACGTGTCTTTCCTTAGTCCTTCCAGGCAATTTATGGGTTAATAGACCTGCCCGTACTTTAAAGAATGACACTACAACTTCATTCCACATCCTTCCCAATTCGTTACTCATTAATCGCCTGACAACTTCTTTAAATAATCTAACTAGATGGCTTACCAAACCCGAAGGTTCATCGCCGAACTAACCAAAGCCCTCCACCGGACCCTGTCCTGGGCCAACAACGTTAAATAAACTACAAATAAATAATCAAGCAGTAGGATTTGAGGTTTTCACTGCGGTGAGTCTGAAGATGGCTGTCTTCTGGGTTCATGCACCGACCTTGCTGCCTCCATCATTAGGGCGATCAGTAAACTTCTACCAGACTACACGGCGCAACAACCCAGAAGACAGCCATCTTCTAATAATCAAACAAATCATCATTCGGCACTACTTATAATCCCCATAGTTGATATATCATCATTGAATATTCAAAACATGCAGTGGGGTACTAAGTGTTTATAAATGAACTTCCGTATTGTTTTTGCAAACGAATTTGCGCAGTAGCAATTTATCCTGCACGAAATCCTACTCGATAGCGAGCTACAGTTAATGAGACAAATTTGATACCCGTTAGTCGAGTTAACAGTAATTTGCAGGATGTATGTAATGCTGATATTGGATACTTACACTTACGAGAACAATGCCTTTTTCTTAGAGCCCACTACCCCACTCCAATTTTCTAAGAACTCATGCCAAGAAATTGTAACCAACACCATGCAGCAGAGTCCTTGAAAAGTACGGAAAAGATAATGTGATGGATTTTCTTTTTTCTGCCGTAGATGCAAAAGAAGTATAGACATATAGATTAAAACGAAAAATCTATTGTCTATATTTATTTATAAATTCAGCCAGGAATACAAAGAAACCACAGCACTTCACCATCACAAAATCCAGCTGTCAATCCTGTTTAAAGAAATAATCGCTATTTACTTTGAGAATCACACGAAACCCATAACTAGGCTATGTAATATGGTCAGAATGATAATTTGTTGATTATTAAAATTGGTTGTGGTACTACATTTAATTATTACTGAGCTTTTACGTGTTGATATTGAAGCTTGTTTGCTTCAATATAGGCTGTAGATGTACTTCTGTTTTTATTCGGTATCATATTGCTACAATAACTCTCAAAATTAAATTTCAATCTAAAGCTTTCACGGCGACTAACTGCTATCCCCAGAAGATTTTATTAATGAAGGTACTTCTGTTTTAAAAGACTCGCAGCTTACATCTGGAAGTATTTTTTTAAGGTGTTACGGATGTAAGGAAATGCACTCAATTTCTTGTATCGATGCTTGCGAACGTTCTAATATGTAGTAATACAATGGATGGATCTATAACTTCCTGATGTAGGCTAGTTCAACTGAAATTCCAATGCCCGTGGCATCACTTCCAGGATTTTCTGTTGGAATGAAACGCGAGGCAGTTCAAACCAGTTAAACCTAACATAATTTCAGTTATTCTTGTCATTTTATAGCCTATATTTCATTGTCTTCCAAGTTTACGTTTCTATTAATTAACCCTAACGAAATGTAGGCTATTTATTTCGTATTTTATCATTATGTAAAATTTCCTAGTGTATCTTTGTCTTTCAATCACCAGTAATTATACACTTTTTTTCTTTTTCCCCAGTTTATTTGTCGTAGGACTAAATACTCGCTCCAGCATTCTCTTCAAACGTCCTTCCTGCTACGGAGAATTAAGTTTCAATTAATAATGGACTGTACCATTTATGTCAACAGCATTGTTGGTTTGTGAATCTGAGTGAAAAATATTTTTTAGTTAATGTTTCAAGAAACAAATTTAAATTTTAGATATGTCTGCGCCACGTATTTGAAGTTTCACACATCTTCAAACAAGTTATTGTATTTTCTGTCTTTAATAAATGAACAGGTGGTCCGAACAACCGGGGTTTGATTCCCATGAGGTCAGTTTCTGTTCCTCAACATCAAGACCATTCCATGACAACCTAATTTAAGATCTATTTCAACATTATCCTCCCAAATGTATTATACGTAGATATTCCATTTAATTAAATTAATATATCGATAACTATTTAGGACTCAGCACCTATCCGGGTCTTTGAGTTATGTTTGAGAGAAATATTCAGGAACAGACTGTGTGGAAAATAAAACGTAGGTCAGGTGGCTGTGTGTGTCCTGGGACTAATACTACCCTCCCCATGCCTCCCGCCACGTCCTAGACTTTTCTGTAATCCACCGCGAGGTCTGCTACACATCAGTTTCCATCTCGTCACCATCTAATGAAGCATCGAAACAATTAATTAGGCCAACATACGATGATGATGTTCTACGAAACTTCGTTTCACATTTCACGGAATAAGTTCTAACAATAGACCATCACTACAGGTAAGCTTTAACATTAATGATTGCCATAAATTTCAGATTTAAAACAGTAAATGAAAGTCTTCATGTGCAAATTTTCAGTTGCATTATAATACTGATTAGAGGCATGTGTTACGTTGCAGATAATAGATGCCTGTTTAATTGTCATAAAGTTAATTTAATTTATTTTCATGTTGCAACGATTTCAAAACTGGAGAATTCGGGTTTTTTTTTATAAATTTGTAACAACGAAACGAAAAATTTTGTTTTACTGATCATCGTCATCGTTGATGTAGACTCATTTTACAGTATGTGATTCATAAAAAATAAATGTAAGCTTATAGTTTGTTATTTTGAACGAAAATTAAGATAGTAGTAGAATATAGAAATGTGTTAGCGCTCGTCGGATGATATAGTGCGTCTTTTGACTAGGTGTTTGGCTGCCTTCCTAAAATTAAGAGGTATTAATTTTATATATAATTAACTTAATATTAATGTTAGAGATATCTGAAGCATGGGGTATAACAGTACTATGCCCCAACAGTACTTTAATAACGTAATGGTGAAGTCGCCCAACCAGTTTAGCTTCGCGTTGTTTTTAATTAATAAGTCATGAGACATTTTAGAAGTTATAGCAAAATATTAAACAGTACACGCTACACAAAATATACTGTGAGTTCAATAAAATTATTCACATTCTCGTTGTCAAAATTGTGGATAAAAAAGGCTCAGAAATTTTGTATGTACTTATATATTTGTAAAGTAATTAACTGTTTTGGTGCCCCTCTTTCATACAAAATATATGCCTCCGTATCTAATGAACCTTTGTAATTTCAAAACTGAGCTCACAATTATGACAGTTTATCATTCTAGTAAGACATTGTTTATTTATTTGTGTCAAATGGCAGGTACATAAAATTTCATCTTTGACCCTTTTTTGCCAAGTTTGTAGACCATTTTGCCGTCAGAGACGTTGCCCAGGGTGCACCACAAGGAGGTAGGTCTACTATGCACCCATGATGTTCGAAAATTCTCACTTCTCCTAATTTTCAACAATAATCAGCAGCTTTCTTTTTATTGATCGAAGTAACAGAAATTAAAGTCACCGTTTTCGTGTCACATATTAACATTTGTACCTATAAAGAAGTTTTAATTTTGTTATATTTTGGAAGAATTCAAGATTATTATTTAATATTTAGCCTACATTTCGTTTTAAACATATGACAAGGAGGTTTAGGTCAAAAATGTCTGCCTTCTGCCATGATCTTCCTGAAGGTGAAGGCGGTAAGCAAATCAGAATTGTCGACCTGTTTCGATTAAGAGAAGGTTTAGGTCAAAAATGTCTGTCTTCTGCCATGATCTTCCTAAAGGTGAAGGCGGTAAACATATCAGAATTGTCGACCTGTTTCGATTAAACTGCGCAACATCCCAGAAGACAGTCATAGTCGCCGCCGAAAGAATCTAAAATCTCACCACGCACCCTGCATCTAGGCAAATAAACACATTTAAATTACCTTCATGCAGAATATTTGATTAGTTCGTCGCCATTAATACCACAGCTCACTATATAATACGATCATGAATCAGTTTCGTCTAGCATACTCACAACCGACTTTCCTATTTATTTATTAATATTTGTGAGAAGTGGTCGTGATCTAATTTAAGTTAAGCCTATCTCGTTTAAAACATAAAACGTTGTATATTTGGTTGTTTGGTTTTGAACTTTGGATTCCTTCAATGGGCCTTCTAGCGAACTGTATGACTAACATAACTAAAATGCGATCTCAAATATAGCACTAAAGTAGGAACTGTGTTGGTAATAAAATCTTATCCTTTTCATAACAATAATGTGTAGTCAGAAACTGAGTATCTCAGTGTTGAAAAATTCCGTTGTAATATTACTCAAACGTACAACGCAAGTTATGTAGGTTAATTCTTCGAATGTTGGTAATCCCTTTTGTGTTTCATACTATTGTCGTGCACAAGTCAGTCCAGTACAGGATTTCGATTTGTGAGGTTCAGTTCTATTGTCTAAGCATTATAATTCATCGTATACTTCGCATTATTTTATAGTTAAGCCACATGTCTAATATAGGCTTATTATCAATCACCAAGGAAGAACTTGCAGTTTTGCTTGATGAATTGTTTAGCCGTCAGTATCTGGTAAGATAATACTGTGTTTAAATATAGACTACTCAAGAAATTCTTCAAGCTTTGTTTATTTTAATGTACTTAGCTAATAATGCTTTTTCCAATGCATATTGAGTCAAATGAGAATGAAAAATAAGCACGAAGCGGATGTGACTATATCGAATTCACCTGAAGAAACAAGGAAGACTACGAAAATTCTAGTCATCGTAGTCGGTGATTCGACCAGATTAAAACTGGGTGCTTCCGCATTCAAATCCAGGATGCTGTCTTTACTGGAATCTGCTCGGTATTTATAAATACGTAAAGTAAAAGAAGGAGACTTCACAGCAATGGAGACGAAGGGGATGGGCGACAGCCCAGGGTCTCGCGTCTCTGACACCTTTACTGTTAAGTAACGAAATTGCATTTTCTCGTTATATTGCCATAGTTTGCCATGTGTACGTACTTCTATCTGAGACCGACAGCAATGGAGAAGGAATTGAGAAAGTTTTCAATAAAAACGTGTGGAGAGTAAACCACAATTTGTAAATGTCTTCCATAAAATGCCATTGTTGACGGTAGATTGATCACATACTGTGTGTTCACATTACCACTCTTTATCTTAATGGTCCTGAGCATTGTTGGCAACATACTTCTCAGTGTGTAACCGATGACGATAAAGATCTACCTCCGAACAACAATGACACAGGAGCGACTGACAGGATTGGTCATTCTATCAATAAAGATTGATGTAGCTTCAGTGCTGAATTATTAAAAAATATTGGTTTCATTCAATTACAGAAACGTATAGAAATATATTTTTAGAGTAAATAACTATCAATATATTATTTCTCAAAAATAGGTCGTTATAAACGAAACTAGTGCATAAAATACTACACTTCTGCCCGAATTCAATTAGTTCATAAAATACTACACTTCTGCCCGAATTAGTCTACAATTTTATAAAAAAAATACCAGTATGTTTTAATTCACATTTAAATTAAATGAAGGTCATAAATATTTATGTGATCTCTGCCCAGATATGCTCGTGCTATTTTCAGGCGTGTTCAGAGACAATAAAGTACAGAAGATGTGGTGTAGCCTGTGTTATGTCACGCGTCACCTCTCGTTGTTAGGCCTACAAGGAATTCGTGCCATTGTCAGGAGGTTGAGATATCGTTTGTAGTATCTGGGCTGTGACAATTCGTCGTCATCAGGTTTAATGACTACTGATTCGATAGAATTTCCCTACTAACATACCACTGAACCTTTCTTGTAGGAGGCAATGCACCAATCGTGGTTGATTTGTATTAGGCGATTTGTTATTTTTATTAAGTATTCGTTCCAGATTAAATATTTAATTCAGGCGGTTACCAGTTGTCATCATGCAGGATGTTAATGTATATTTATGACACGCTTGCCGCGAAAATACATAGGCTGACCGCATGTCGCCCACGAATTGAAAACCCCTAAGCCGCGTGATTAGCGCCTAACAAGCACGGTTGCCTACGTGTAAGGAATAGCCCTCACCTATTTTGTCTATCAGCTAGTTTATTTGCATTCGCCTGGAAGTATTTTGGAAAACCAAAAAGAAATATCATGTCTGCTTTAAAGCACCATTTTGATGTCATTCTCAAACCGCGCTTTTACTTCCAGATGTGCAGAACAGGTTTGTTTAGTTAGGTGTTCGACAGTGTGATATCGTTTGCAAACGCCTGTCTTCAGATGGACGTGATAGGATTGTCGGGTGATGATCACCAGTCAAGTCTCCAAGAAATCGCGGCAGACGCCGTAGGAGATGCCAGCAACGAGTCCCCACCTTCCGCTGATAGCAGCGTCTTTGTAATGCGTCGAGAGGCTTCTACCCGTCTCCAAGCGGCCATCGAGTTCTCTGCGTCCTGCAGCGACGCAAGAAATGGTTATGAGTTTCAGCCTCTGCAAGCAGTCAGAGGCCGAAACGACGGAGCCGAACGAATCATAGTTCCGCAAGAAGTGAGGGCGGTGACGACGGAACGCAACGCATCTCTGGAGAGCCATCTGGTCACCATTCAGACGTTACCCAATACCGCGTGGAGAATGGCTTCTACTCAACTTGAACGAGGTTGTGTTCTTCTCAAATTGGTTTTAACCGGTGGCAAAATGGGATATTTTTCAAAAGTGATGGCCAAATCCCTAAGGGGGAGGGGGGAAATCCGTGATGCACAAGTCACAACATGTCACACAAGTGCAACAAATGCAACGCAGTTAATATCAAAAGTCAGCACACATGCAACTGTTAACATCCCAAGACTGGCTAACGTGAAAGCTTGGAATGTTATGCAGTCCCTCCTTCCCTCAAGTCTAGTGTAGGGCGTCTCTTCCTGCGCAAACATTCGACGAGTTGAAGCCTCAACTACCTGACAAACAATACATTTCATCTTATCGGTTTTGCTGTATTCAAGTGTGTGAAGTATCACGAAAGCAAGACATTATTTTTCGTTTTTCAAAGTGTTTGCTCGATTAACAGGCAGGATTTGAGGTTTTCACAACGGCGAGTACGAAGATGACTGTCTTCTGGTTTGTAGCGTCTGGTAGAAGACCAACAAGGTTAACATGAATATTTCGTCCCCGGCTTTAACGTGATTTACGTTTTGGCGAAGAACTTGATTAACCATGATAATGATAAGCAATTTAGGCGTTCTTTACTTGAAGTAACCAACAAGTTGGTGTAGAGAAACGTTCTGGAAGGTAACCGACTACGATTAAACTATCGGCCGGTTTTTCGGTTACCTGCGTGTTTTTCTTCTTGTATGTCAGTGTTTCTTTCGGCGAATGAGGATTAATAGGTAGATCTACAATAAGGGTGGCTGGCTCCTTCCAAATCCTTAACTCAAGTTATTATAAACTCGTGTAAGATTTGAGGTTTTCACAGCGGTGAGTATGAAGATTCCTGTCTTCTGGGTTGTTGCG